TTTTTTAATAATTGTAAACATTCGCCAGCTGTTTCTGTTTATTTATTAGTAAAAGGCAGGACTGCCAATCTTGCGGCAAAACAATAATAAAAATCCAAAAAAACACGTAAAGCCAAACAGAATTAATTGCAAAACGTGCAATGATACACACATTAAATTTCTTATGTGCACCCTCCACACAGACCCCAATCACTTCTGAAAATTTCATTTTATGTGCACCCTCCACACAGACCCCAATCACCCCTGAAAATTTCATTCAAATCGGGCAAGCCGTCTAGGAATGATAGAAATCTCTTATGTGCACCCTCCACACAGACCCCAATCACTTCTGAAAATTTCATTTTATGTGCACCCTCCACACAGACCCCAATCACCCCTGAAAATTTCATTGAAATCGGGCAAGCCGTCTAGGAATGATAGAAATCCGAAAAAAACACGTAAAGCAAACAGAATTAATTTTTTTTTGTTTTTTGTTTTTGCAAAACGTGCAAAGATACACACATGAAATTTCTTATGTGCACCCTCCACACAGACCCCAATCACCCCTGAAAATTTCATTGAAATCGTGCAAGCCGTCTAGGAATGATAGAAATCCGAAGAAAACACGTAAAGCCAAACAGAATTAATTTTTTTTTTTTGTTTTTGCAAAACGTGCAAAGATACACACATGAAATTTCTTATGTGCACCCTCCACACAGACCCCAATCACCCCTGAAAATTTCTTTGATATCGGGCAAGCCGTCTAGGAGGAGTATGCGAACAGGAAGTTTTGCCACTTAATTTTATATATATAGATAGAGTGCATATGAATGCATGAAAAAATTAGAAACATAATTTCTTTACTGCTTCGTCTTAAAAGAAAAAATTGTATTCAATATTCCTTCGTTCGTTACTTTCATATCTCTGACGATGTTAAGTAAAGCTAAACCATTTAATCTTTGTTCCCCAGTTTTACTTCGTAAATATGATTTAAGCTTAAGGAGGAGTATTCGCAGGAAGCAACTGTCACAAGAAGTGTTGCGCCTATCTGCAATATGATACAATTGAACCCCCAAAACCCCTACCTGCGTTCGCTAGGGATGCAAACGATGTATCAATGTTTTCAAAACATCGATGTTTCGTCTAAAAATATGTATATCGATGTTGTGCTGGACGATACATGACGATATATGTATATACATACACTGGCGATCAAACGTGAGAGCATGCTGACAAATTTTCATCTACATTTTGAACTTTTTAGTCTGAATATTTAAAAAAATTCTGGGTATGTAAATCTAATAAAACAGGTGCAAGTTTTAAGCGGCTAAAAATCGCTTAAATTTTTAATGATTTTTCTCTGGCGGCTTTTGTGTTTTTTTTCATATAAAAGGTGCAATTTATAATAACTGGCGTTGATTTTTTTAATTTTGTTTGCAAAAGGTCTTTCGCATTTAATTCTATAAGAAATTTACTTTTATATGGTAAAATGTGCAAAATCCGTTAGCGAAACCAATTCGTTAAAAATCAAGGCGATTTTTAGCGGCTTTTTCTAAAAATTCAGACAAAAAAGTTCAAAATTAAGATAAAAATGTGTTAAATTTTTCAAAGTTTTGTATAAAGTTATGGTTTGCAGGGGATATGTGAATCTAGTTCTTTCGAGTTTAAAAAGTATTTCAGGCTACATTTTATTTCGTGTAGTAGATGAGATATTAAAACATCGGTAAAACATCGATGTATCGTTTTTATAACCGACGTGTTTTAACATCGATGTTTGTCGCTTGTTTCGTAGAATATGCGATTGCTTTCGTTCTCCACACTGTAAAAAATATAGTACGAATTATAACACAACAGTTTGATTTTGTTTTTATCGTTTAAACGCTTAACCTGTTTAACAAAATGTTTTGCAAGAACGCTTACCATTAATGAATAAAATATAATGAAAGTGTTGTGTTATAATTTGAGCTATGTTTTTTATACGAAAGAAGTGCAGATATTATAGGTATATAACTGTCGTAAATAATAAGTTTTCGCTAAATTTTCTAACTACACTGCAGTTTAAAATGAATAAAAAAGATTATTTAACCTATAATAAAACTTAATTATTTTATTTATATGCATACGAATACTACATATTTTTTATTGCTTAGCCTTCATTCAATAAAGTATATTGATGGAAAGTGTTAAATTATGAAACTCAACACTCTTATGGGCTGATTATGCATATTTCGCATAACTTCGCATAAACTTCAAACTGTAATCTCTTGTGTACTTTGCATGAATTTTGTATGTACCCATAAATTAGCAGAACTTTGAAAACCTTAGCGATCTGTTGAGTTTAGATTTTGCTTCACATTTTCTTAAGTTACATTTCTGTTGCACTGGTCCAAATCGTTGTGCGAAGTATGCATAATAAGCAGTGTTGCCATTTTAGCCGTTTTCCGACTAGATTTAGCCGGTTGCGATAGCAAACAGCCGGAGAAATTTCGATTTAGCCGGCAGCCGATTTGTTAGCCGTTTTGCAGAAAAAAATTAGCCGTTTTTAGCCGATTTTGCTATTTGCCTTGTTTTCTTAAATTTCAAATACGTATATATGTTTCCATTTTTGACTAAGCGACCCAAAATCTGTTAGAAATGGTTACTAGCCTTATCGTGGAGAAAATTTTCATGTCAGGCAGGGTTGTATGAAATTGGGCCGATTTCGCTTATTTTTATTTTAAACGAATAAGGGATTTTCTTCATAAAATGTTTGTTATAAATGTCTTAATTTTAAGTGTGAAGTTTTATTCGCAAACTTAGAAAATATGAAATTGTTTCACTGTTAAGACACTTAAGATGCGTTTGTGTTTGGATTAATGCCAACAAACAGAATAAATATTACATGTAGATATTGTCTTCCCAGATAGCGCATATTTAATTCTGCCTAAATTACAAAACATCATTTTTGCCCACTCCCAAAGGTTTAAGGTAAGGGAAAATTTGATATTTTCAAGCACTATGTACACATATGTATTTTTTTAAACAAACTTTTTAGCTGAGAACTTAAATAAATTCCAAAAACCGAATGCCAACTTGAATTAAAGGAACCAACACTGAAGTGAGTCAAAATGAAAATAAAAGAGCACAAATTTTTATGTAAAGCAAAACTCTCTGGGAATCCTACGAGACATCTGCCGGTCATATGACCGGCCATCCAAATGGGAGATCTGCAGTTTTTTGGCATCATATTTTACATCAGAATTGAAGGGATTTCTGAAAAATCTGACAAGTTCTTTTGTGTAACTGTGATTTTGCATCCCTTGTCAACATATGGCCTCGGTTGATGTTAACTTAAGGTCGTTGGTTTACTGCCTTAAAATTGAAGGGAAATTTTTACAGCGTTTTTATGTGTATTGGTTTCTATTTGAGTGTATTGAGAATCGGTCAG